TGATAGTGTGTGTGTGTGTGTGTGTGTGTGTGTGTGTGTGTGTGTGTGTGTGTGGGGGGTGGGGGGTGGGGGGTGGTGGAAGGCGGGGAGTATTAAAGAACTGGAGGAAAGTTGTATGTTTTATCGTTGCTACGCTGCACCTTGACTGGCCTGACTCCTCCACATGACCCTTCTCTAAGAGGATGTCCAGTTGCCTACAGATGGGCCTTGGGTTCCCACTCTGCACTCCCCTTCATTCACAATGATATGATTTTTGGTCTTTGATGCCTGATTCCTGATGCCATCGACATCTCCTGATCACACAGGCTAGTGTACGATATAAAAATACATTGCTAATGTTTTCTTAAGGGACTCTGGTGGCATAGTGGTTAAGTACTCAGCTGCTAATCGATTCAAACCCACCAGTCACTCCACGAGAGAAAGATGTAGCCACCTGCTGCCATAAAGATCTCAGCCTTAGAAACCCTGTGGGGTAATTCCACTCTGTCTTAAAGGGCTGCTAAGGGGTTCCAAGGCAATGGGACTGAAAAGGATGTTTCCTTTATGTCTTGAAAAGGGAAGATATACTAATGATAAAACACTTCCAATTCTATTATTTATACAAGTGAAAATTTTGTTTAATTTAGCCAAGGAGCAATTTGATAAAATGATACAACTGTTCATTGCCAAACAACCCCCCCATTTTCATCAGAAATACAACCTGGGGCATATAGCAACTAATTAAATTCATATGAAGTACAAATTATTGAATAGAAACCAAAACGCATTTCAAAGTAAATACCAATTAATGTGACACTCAATTTCTTTCCCCCTTCCTAATCACTCCAAAATGCATAGCTTATCAACAAAACATACTCAATTTATTTTGCAGGATTCAATTAGAAATATGTTTTATGGTTCAATCCAACAATCACACCCAATGCTTTGCAAGCAGGATGGTCAAGGGTTTTTTTCTATCTGATTCTTAACACCACAAACGGCTCCACCCTATCAATGATATAATAGTCCCGCCTCCAACTTTTCTCTGTTCTAATTTGAGCAGGATCTTCATTACCGATGTTTGGTTTCTGAGGTGCGTGCTTCCCTTCACATCATATTCTCTCTCCCTTCCTTGTTTCCATGACAGTGAACCCACAATAGAAAACGATCAAGTCATAGATACAGCTGTTCTGACAGCAATGCTCCCGTCAACCTCGTTTGTGAGACAAGGCTTCAAATAATAGAAACTGTGTTCAATAACACTCAACAAATGATTGGCTGTAAAGTAACATGCTTTGAACAGAGAGTAACAAGCAACTAATCTGGCACAAGAGTGGCCAAGTATGGCTAATCACTTGTGAAAGTAATCAGCCACTTGATCTGTTTTGTCTTACAGAGGCCAATGATCAAGTTCCTTCCAGAGAGAACCTGGCAGGCAGTGCTGTCCATGAGCCCTGACGATGGCCTCTTGGTTACAGTATACTCTTAATTGTCATTCATTCAGCAAATAGTGGCCGAGCACCCACAATGTCAAGGCAATGAAACTGGTGCTGGAGAAACAAGCAAAAGACAAAGCCTGTGTTCTAAAGGAGCTCAACAAATTTTGGGACGAGCAAATGATTTTTAACAGGGTTTATATATACCACAAATAATCACTCGATGCTTATAACAATTCTTGTAAATATTTTAAAAAAGGGAAACACTGATAAATAATAAAAGTGTTTCTTTTCAAACAACGGAAATGTTCCAAGAAGGTAGTTGCGATGGTTTTAAATTTTATCTGCATGCTCAGATTAATGAAAGAAACAAAATATTGGGTAACGAGAATTCTTCTCAAATTAACACAGAAAATTGGGAAGGGGGACTGTTATATCATTAATAAGGTGGGGCGGTTGGTGGTGTTAAGAATCAAACAGAATCAAATCGTTCAGTTTACTTAAACTGAGCACCTACTGTGCACCATGCACTTCTACATAGCCCATCGCCTTATTTTTTCCTCCCAGTGGGTTTTCATATTAAACAAAAGTAAATCTTCAAAACGGGAAGCATGGGGTACAGGGGCTTTCTGGGCTTCACCATGGCTTCTAATTCTCAATGCAACCACAAGTGCAGCAGTGCTGTAGTTTGGAGCATGAGCCCTTGTCCGGCTCTCCAAGGGCCACCCTGCTGTTTCAGTTATTGTAGGCGCCTCTGTCTGTGATACCCACACCGAAAAGGAGAGTGTTACCTGTTCCTCCATTTCCAGGTCCTGAGGATGTAAGTGTGAGGAACCTATTTTTAAGAAATCTCCTCCAGGTATTTCCTATAACTTTGTCCTGTAACCCTCCACCCCCTCCTCCTTACTTCTTTGATCTGACAGGTTATTAAAAAGCTTAAAAATAAAGCAATTACACCAGCCTGTCTGACCACGAGGTGTAGAAGGGATCAGATATCAGACATCAAAGAACTTAAAATCACATCAGTGGGTGCCCGCTCTACTGACACAATTACTGAAGACAAAAGTGTGCCTAAGCAAATGTGGTGAAGAGAGCTAACAGTGCCCGGCTATCAAAAGATATAGTGTCTGGGGTCTTAAAGGCTTGAAGATAAACAAGTGGCCATCCAGCTGAGAAGCATCAACGCCCACATGAAAGAAGCACACCAGCCTGTCTGACAGGACATGAGGTGCAGACAGGACCAGTTATCAGACATCAAAGAACTAAAAATCAGATCAGTGGGTGCCCACCTTCCCGATATGATCACTGAAAAAAGAGGTGTACATAAGCAAAGGTGGTGAAGAAAGCTGATGGTGCCTGGCTATCAAAAGATATAGCATTTGGGGTCTTAAAGGCTGGAAGATAAACAAGCGGCCAACTAGCTCAGAAGCAACAAAGCCCACATGGAAGAAGCACACCAGTATGTGTGACCATGAGTGGTCGAAGGGATCGGGTGTCAGGCATCAAGGAACAAGAAATCATGTCATTGTAAAGGTGGGTGAGTGCAGAGTGGAGACTCAGAGTCCATCGGGTGGCAACTGAACACACCCCTGCTGAGGGGTTTTGGGGAGGAGATGAGCTAATCAGGGTGCAGGGTAGCAATAATGAAACATATAACTTTCCTCTAGTTCTTTAATGCGTCCTCCTCCCCAATATCATGATCCCAATTTTGCCTTGCAAATCTGGCTAGACCAGAGGATGTACATTGGTACTGATAGCAACTTGAAACACAGGGAACCCAGGATAGATGACTCCTTCAGGATCAGTGGTGAGAGGGGCGAGGCCTGGAGGGTGAAGGGAATGTGGGGTAGAAGGGGGGAACCAATTATAAGAATCTAAGTATAGCCTCCTCCCTGGGGAATGGACAGCAGAGAAGAGGGCGGAGGGAGACGTCGGACAGGGTAACTTATTACAAATCTATAATAATTTATGAATTATGAAGGGTTCAGGAGGGGGGGGGAGTGAGGGGGAAAATCAGCAAACGATATTGAGGGCTAAAGTGGAGAGCAAATGTTGTGAGATTGATGAGGGCAACAGGTGTACATAGGTGCTTGACTCAGTGGATGTATGTATGGACTGTGATAAGAAATGTACGAGCCCTCAATAAAATAATTAAAAAAAATAAAGCAATTAAATTTTCTTTCTTAAAAAAATGATTTTTATAGTCTGAGGAATACATTATACAGGGGTTTCGAGGTCTTCTTTAATGCTTGGGCAACTGAGAAAGCACGCAGGTAAGCTCCTTGAGGGCAAGGGCCAGTGTGCCTGCGTTTTCTTTGTCTTGCCATCAGAGTTCAGCTTCGTGTGCTCTCTAAATGATTGGCAAGGTCAGGGGCAAAGTGTCTGGGTCTGCTTGTCTTCTCTCCATGCCAGCAGACAAGAGGTAATTCCAGCCAAAGCGCTGTATGCAAAACTGTCACTCAGTTAGGTCTCCCACTTGCCTAAGGTAGCAGATGATTGGGCTTTGCATGCCTGGTTTACACTCTTCAAATATTTATAGACAGTTCTCTGTGCTGCCAGCCCTAGTTGTCACTTAGCCAAGTTATACATACATGGTTCTTTTAATCTTTCCTTAGAAATCAATCTCACTAAGCTCCTTAATCATTCTAGTTGCATATTTCTCAACTTTGGGCTGTTAGTCTTTCTGGTAATTTTTTTCCTGTTGAAATGCATGAAAACAATACAGATGTGGCACAGAGAGGGGTCAGTCACCCAAGGGCCAATGCATTTTATAGGCAAAATTAAGTTATTTTATCTTTTTTCCTTTTTATGATCATGCTTTAAATGATATTTAAGTTGATGGATCAATCAATATAGTGCAAGAGAAAGGTAGAAAAAAGTATCATCAGTATTATATTCTCCAAGGTTGACTTTGCCATTGATTGTATACTCTTCATGTGGCTCATCCCGATTACTTTAGGTTGCAGTATTAAAATTCAGGGGCAGGCTGCAGGAAATGGGAACTCAGAGTGACCTGGCCACAAGAGACTGGATTAAGTGGCTATTCTGAGGTACTGTGTGCCTGCAGTTAATTCTGGCTAACTTTATTCAACTTCTCAATGAAAAAAAAAAAGTTAAAGATGGGCTTATTTTTCACATTTAAGTACATTGAAGAAAACTGTAAACTCATCAGAGCTGGGGCAACATTACCAGACCAAGTGGATACATCATCTTCATGGTCCTTTTCCTTTGATCTTAGTCTTCTTTAAGAGACCAGGGTTCACCTGAGTTGTGCCACTTTGTTTGGATGGAAATATAACACAAAGACATTTAACAATTTAGTTCCCATCTCTTTTGGTGCAGTTCCCTTCCAAACATAATTTTGAAGTAAAGAATCAGGGAGAGAGTTGAGTATCATGTCACTTTAAGTACACAGATTTTTCCCTTTTGGCTCTGCTACTGATAAGTGTATTTTCAAAGGCGGAGAACACTGTGAAACATGGCAGGTTCTAAAGCATTAAGTGTTTTACTTATTAGTACTCGACTTCTTTTTTCCTGCAAGTAGATTGTTGAGCCCTGATTAATGCAGCTCAGTCTTAACCTTACCTAGATCTACCATCAAAAGGCGCGTGAGGGCTGTGTAGAAGGTTGTTCGGCACCTGAAGTCACTGAGGCTGTAATATTCACTGACGCCAAGAAAGGGGAAGTGTTCACTCTAAGGAGAGCAGAAGAGCATCCCAGGTTACTGCCAATGCTTTCTCTAAACTACCAGAACAAGTCTAGTCATTAATTGTGGAAATAAGACTTACCGTGTGGTTTTTGAGCATGAATTTCACGGCATCAATCTTCACAAGTTTTTTTAAAAGGATATAGGTAATAGACGTTAAGGAATCTCGGGAACTATAACTGTCTTATCAATATATGATAAATCAAAATAAAACTGAACGATAAAGGCAGGAATTTCTACATATGAAAAATAAATACTATTTCTACAGAGTACACCTATAGGGATGTCTAATTCTGTTAATCCATTATTAAGCAGTGCAATTACTTTTCATATCTTATACATATTCTAGTTATGGAAAGGAAGAATGAATTTTATAATTAAGATGAGAACTCCTTTAGTATTAAAGTTTTGATAGTAGAAAATTAAAACTGCCCCTTTTTAGTATTTTGAGTAAAACTTGAGAATTTTTTTTACTTAAAAGTTACTTCATAATGAAATAATTATAAAAGACCCAGAATAGGCTATCAAGAAAGCGAAGATGATTCAATTTTAAGAACCTGTGGGACAATTTAGTGCACACTTGTGGCTTTGGCTGGGGAAGACTAACATCAAAGTACAGTTAGGAGGCTACAGCAGAAGGATGTCATCCAGTGTTGTGTCTGGCCTAAAAGGATTAATACTTCTCGAACAGCTTCTTTGTGCAAGGTACTGAACATACACTTAATCACCCAATCGTCACCATTACGTTACATGTGAATTATTATTTTTATTGTATAAATAAGGCCCCAGAAGCCCAGAGAAATTAAGATGCTTGCCCAAATTATCACAGCTAAGGTTATCGTGATCTGAGCTGAGGTTTGACTGCAAAACCATGAATCATTCCAAGAATAATTTAGTTCAGAATGAGCATCCGGGTGACAAGTCACAATAACGATGTCTAAAATCATTTCTCGTATATGCTGTCATCCAAGAAAGGCTTTAAGAACATTGACTCAATGTGTAAATACTCCTCTTCGCCCTGGTCATGTGTTTTTACTGCAGTTGGAGCATGTCCTGGCTCTACTTGACGTGTGTTCATGCCTTCCTCTTCCTTGTAGGTCTATTCTTGTTCAGTGAAAACACTGGCTGCTTCCTTTCCCTTCCCATGGTCTCCCATAATACACAGCTCTGGAGGCACCTCTACGGAGTGGCCCTGATGGGTCTAGTGTTACGTTCTAGTCACTTGGGCATGGCTGTGAAAGAGTGGAAAACACATTGGCACACAAGTTAGGAGACTTGGGCTCTAGGCTTGACCACACCATTCAACCAGCTGGAAAAGTCTGAGCAATCCACTCAGTCCCTCTGAGCCTTAGTTTTGCTCTCCAACAAAGGAGCAAGTCCCTGCCAAAGCTATCTCAGAGGACTGCTGGAAGGCTCAGATGAGGAAAACATGTTTGTCACTTATAAACCAGGAAGGAAGATATGATGATGCAGAGAGTTAATGTTTCTGGAATGTTTACTACCTGTGAGGTTAATTCTCCTAATTTCATGAGCTGGCGGGAATTACTTCTATTTCTTTTCAGATGTGGAAACAAACTGAAAATAAAGAGATAGATGAACTTGTCAAAAGGCATACAATGAGTCTGGTTTAGAGCTAAATCCCTTTGAGGCCAAAGCAGCCACCCCAGCTGCACCGGAAGCAGCTCCTTTTGGCAGCCCTCTACACTGGACTGCACCCTTTCTAAGGGCAGGACCTGCCTTTGCAGAGTTTTTCCCCAGTGGGCCTCAACGCATCGTGTCTTTCTAGGAAGCTGAAGGGCAAGAGGATCAGGGTTGAGAGGCAGCAGGCCCTATCCTGCCTGAAAAAGATGTGGATGTGATGATTCTTCCGTGTCAATCACTGAGCAGAAGAACTGCCACTCAAATGCCACGCAGTTAAACAGGAGTAGGGATCAATACACTAAGAAATATCAAGTAATTACCAAATACAATTCTCTTAAAATTGCAAAGTTAAAAGTGACAGAGTCTATGGGTAATAAGCATGCTGCCATTAATAGGCCTCTTCCTGTCAGTGCCGTTAATAAACAGCAAGTCATGTTTTGACAATAGAGTATTTATGGGAGCAATAAACAGCACATTCACAGGAAGAACCTCATCTGCCAAAGACACATTCTCTGCAGAATTGCATCTGTGCACTCTGTACCGAAGCCAGCCTCGCTACCTTTTAATTACATTCTAACAGAGCAAAAAAATTAAGAATAGATTTTTACCTTTTTTCCCAGTAAAGAAAAAAATGGAAATTTCATCTGCATATTTATGTCCCATAAAGGAATTCGATTCAAAACTGGTGATGGTCCTTAAGAGGGTCTGCAGGGTTTATTTTTATTTCTTAACAAAGGCAAGTGGATACAACATTTTCATGACCTGTATATTTTTGTTTTCTTCTCTCAGGGACGGGGGTGGGGGTGGGAGGTGTTCATGTACGTTCTGTTATTTTGGTTGGGTGGGAACATTAAATTATGACAGCTTATTCTGTGCAGTCTTTCAGAACAGCTAATAGCAGTAAATGTGGCAACAGTGGTAACAGAACTAACAATAGTAGGTAGGTGTTTGAGAAGAGAATTTAGAAAAGGTCACACATTGAGCACACATATGGGAGAGCCAAGAATCAAACATCGGACTGTTCGATTTTAATGTACAAACAGAAAACCTAACCTTTCTCCTGAGGCGCGACTGGTGGGTTTGCAATGTTGACCTTGTAGTTAGCAGCCCGATGCATAACCCATTATACCAGTGGTTGTCAACCTTCCTAATGCCAAGACCCTTGTATTAGTCTAGGTACTTTGGAGAAACAAATCCACAGCAACTCATATATAAGAGAGAGTTATGTAAAGAAAAGGTGCATCACGAAAACATCCCAACCCAATGCTGCCCAAGCCCACAAGTCCAACATTAACCCATTAACCCAACACCAGTCCACAAAGTCCTCCACCTCACAAAACAGAGGCAATGATGCCGACTGTAGGAGGAAAGCTGAGTCAGTAAACGAATAAGCATCTCAGCTGTCTCCACACGGCTGCTCCAGCACCCAGGGCTGGGATAGGTCCATGCGGCTCCTCCTTGGGGATGTCTTGTGGGACGTCAATCTTGCAAGCTGAAGCAGGGAGCTGCTAAGGCAGCTGCATCCTGGTACAACCATCACAAAGCAAGAGACCCGAGAACTAGAAAGGCGAGGCTTCACCACCCATTTATCCCTCCGCCTTTCAACCAGCCCCACATGTGATTATCGGCCAGGCTGGCACAATTAACTAACTCACCCTTTAATACAGTTCCTCATGTTGTGGTGACCCCCCAACCATAAGATTATTTTCTTTGCTACTTCATAACTGTAGTTTTGCTACTATTATGAATCGGGCAACCCCTGTGAAAGGGTCGTTTGACCCCCAAAAGGGTGGCAACCCACAGGTTGAGAACTGCTGCATTATACCATCAGCACTCCTGTCAAAAACTCTAGCAGAATGAAAAAGTCCAACAGAAGAATCTTAGGGGAAACTTATAATTACTCCTAAGTAACAGATGCCGTTAAGGCTTGGCCAAGCAACAGGAGGCGAACAATAGTTCCCAATTCCCATTATGCACAGCTTTGAGCTATAAAGAAAGGAAAAAATAGAACTCTAATCTGTAATAATTTATAACCTAGCAAACATGAACAACTAGTGAACACTGAGCTGCAGTCATAAACAGACTCACAGGTAAGAACTGAAAACAAAGGCTGATAGGAAAGAGTCTGAAGAGAATGATTAAGTACCGAGTTAAACTGATGTGATAGAATTGGTAGTACTAGTTACGTTAGTATTCTTTGATAATGTAAATATATTGTTACATATTTATTAGTTTATTTGCACTTATATTACAAAACACTAAGCTTTGCTAAGTGACAGTGACATTAGATTTTTATTATTATAAAGTCTCATTGTCTTCAAGTAGATTCCTGTTCATAATGACCCTAAAGGACACAATGGAACTGCTCCTGTGGGTTTCTGGAACTTTTAAGCAGTTTTATTGGCACATAATCCACACATCAAACAATTCAATAGTTCAATCATTATTGTCAGTCTTTAAGGGAGGAAAGTCTGGTCTTTCTTCTCTGGAGCAGTTGGTGGTTTTGAACTGCTCATCTTGTGGTTAAGCAGCCCAAATGCATAACCTACTACATCACCAGTGTTCCTATTATTATGATGTACTGTAGTGTTAGATAATATTGGTATTACTTCACTGAATCTGTATAAGACCACAAGCAATAGCTGACAATCCTTCTCGAAAGAAAGAAAGACAAAAAACCCAAACAGGCTCAGAGAAGTTAAATGACCAATGTTTTTTGGCTAACACAGGAACTGATGGTTACAACTACCACTGGATATTAGCTACACTATGGTGAATCTTTTACCAAGAACTGAAAGTATGAAAGAGACCTACATGAGAGAGAATGGCGTATGTGATGACTCAGTGAAAGAAGAAGGGTGTCAAGGGGAAGGTAAAATAAGTTTCCTTGGCACAAATATACAGTACAAATTGCGGTTCCGTGGAGGATCTGGAAATTAGTTATGGGAACTCAATAAGTACCGTTAAAAGGACTCAAGTTCAAAGCAATAACTTTACTTTGACCTGAGAAGCCAGGGGATGTGATTCTGCGCTTACGGGAAGAGGACTGATCAGATCAAAACTATACTTGGGAAGGTGATCTTGTGAAGCCAGAATCTACAGAACTTGACGAAGGTCTGAATAAGGGGGCTATGCAAGTGTAGAGATGAGTCAAACATCTGATTCTAGAATAAAAACAAACAGAGCAACACATTATGAGATAGGAGCTTTTCCATGGAAAACAGAGACAGAAAACAAAGACATAAACCAACATTTCTTTTGACGAGAAATGTTAATAGAACTATGCCTGAGGGATATATGCTGATACTAGTTTTATTTAACATTCTAACAGACCATCTGGAGATGGTGGTATTCACTGAAATAAACCCATGCATTTTGATCCTACATGGCAAAGCAGAATTACTACTGTTCGTTAGTAAATATTACTTGTAACAGAAACGCCCACTTTTACTTCTCTCCTGCATCCTTATTTCATTCTACACCTTTGCATTGTCTCCATTCTCTACTCTTTCCAGATGCACAGGTCATTTGAAATTCACCGCCCCTACCATGGTGGTAGGATCAGTGATGGGGTGAGGATGTTTGGTCTGCACATGACTTGGGAATTTGAAAAGTTGTGTATTCTTGTTTTATATGTATATATCTAGATCTAAATGCTCTTCATCAATAGGTTCCCTCCCTTCAACACAGCCATGTTAAAAATGCCACACATTGGGGTTATTTCTCGTAAGGAGATGTTCAGAATATCAGTATGCAACTTATTTACACGAAAATTTTAAGTACCAGTTAGAATTTAAAATCTTTGGGAAGACGGTCTATCCAGAATCAATGTATCTGGCTACGTTCATTTGTCTTTTTGCTCTGTGCTAAGTAAATGCTTAATTAACATTTGATGAAGTGAATGTCATCAGAAGTCAATGGAGTAATACAAATCATTAAGATGGGTACAGACTTATTTCAAAAATCACTCTTTCATTCCTATTCACGTCCTTCAAATAAGCACAAATGAAATGGTGAAAGGTCTGGATAAATGAAATAATCATGGTGAACAAGTGGCTCTGACAAAAGGAGCGTCTGCCTAGCAAAAATGAAAAAAAAATTGATAGCTTTATGATGCATGTTGATAAGGGCTTTCTACATTCCTGGTAGACAGCAAATAAGGGGAGAACACTAAAGTCTTAGTGAGCTAGTGTGAATTTCCTCTCCATGCAGGGCTGGCTTCATGGACAGTGATCTGTGTACTTGCACAGAGGCCTCACACTTGCAAAGTTCTATGCTCAGTTTAATGGTCTGTTGTTGAGGTCTTGAAATTCTTAACACTTTTTTGAACAAGAGACCCCACATTTTCCCTTTGTAGTGGGCCCCATGAACTATGTAGGTGGTCCTGTAGTTACAAGGAGAGGTCATTTGACTCTTAAGAATGAAGTTAACAGTTATCCATAAGGTACAAAAATGGGTCTGGATACATTCATGAATTGAAGTAGAATTCTTTTATGAGGTCTATTTTTTTTTAAAAACAAGCTAAAGATATTTTGTGTTTTCTCAGACCTTTGAGGATGATGTAATAGAGGGCAATGACCAACAGAGGGCCTGAGAGAGAATCGTTTGAGTTTCTTTCTTAGTGTCTCTCTGAAACCCAAAGGGAGATGTGCTGCCTCTATAAACCTGAGGAGATAAGGACTGACCGTGGAACATTGGTCAATTATGTTTTAAATGCAGAAAAACATGAGCTAATGATTAACAAAGAGAATTTCAGAATAAATGTTAAACCTTTTCCTCCCTTTTCCTTAGCATTTAAGCCTAAGGTAACGTACATGATTCTGTTTTGTTTCCCAGGCACTTCTTCATTCTAACCACGTGGACAATCTCCCCCTTTCCCTGTTTAGATATAGAACAACATTTCTGACCAGTGAATATTTCGAAAAGGGCAGGGGATCCCCAAATGTTCAACCTGACCATGGGAAGCTGGACCTGGGCTGAGCCACCTCAACTCTGTACATGTAAGAAAAAGGTAAGAACCAGAAAATTTTGAAGTTTACTCTTGGAAATTTAAAGACTGGATGAAAGAGTTACTCAAATGCATTTTCTAAGCTTATTTGCCCCATGTATTGAATCTGATTTTTAAAAAAGTTTTCTCTCAAAGGAGTCACTGCATTTTAAAATTACAATAGTCTTATAAAATTGAAAGTGTCAAATATGGCAAACAGCAACCCAAGGGTAGAATGCAAAGACCATCGATCTATCCATAGTTACAATCTGGGGATTTGTTTCATGGCCGTCTTTCCCTGCATGTTACTACTGTAGGGGGCTGAAACATCAAAAACCACACCCACTGCCACCACAGGTATTCCAGGAAGCAGACAGTCTCACGGTCTCCTGCAGAGTGGCTGGTGGGCTTGAACCAGGGATCTTGTGGTTAGCCCAACATCTAACCAACAGCACCACTAGCTCTCTAAAATGTCAAGCCTACCTTTCCCCACTGAGAACTAAGTTCTATTGAGAGGTCCTTGTGGAAGAGGTACCTGCGTATTCTGTTTAGAATATACAATCCAGCTCTATTTTCTAATTACTTCAAGGCAGAAGTTCTCGTATAGGACCCAAGCTGCCAATATCATCAGCATCATCTGAGTCTAGTTAGAAAGGCTAATTATCAAACCTCAACAGAAGACCTACTGAAACAAAAACTCCAGAGAAAGATCTAGCAAAGCCTTCTAAGTGATTCTGACATTCACTAAAGTTAGAGATTTCTGCCTCAGGGCAACTGAACACGAAGCTTTTAGCACTTTCTAAAAATGAGGCTCTTTTGTGGTTTCATTGGTCAAATATAAGAACACAAAGTCGTTTTAACCACCATAAACACTTCACTCTGAAGCAGATTAAGGGCGGGGGAGGGACAATAACAGCAACAACATAACCTCTGAATATTAATATCTTGCATAACTGTTTCTATTGCTGAAGGGTGCCATCTTATTTTTAACACAGGAACAGTGCATTGCTTTAAAATCAGCATTCAAACCCACATTATAATAAGGCATCGATTGGAAACAACAAATATGCATTAGGTAACCAGCAACGCACTGAAATAGATACACCACTCACGTATTCCATTATGTAAATGAATTCAAAGATATTTCACAACTGATCAGCTGGAAGGGACATAATGATTTATAATTCAAATAACTGAGCACTGAAATCAAATTGAGCTAATATATATTTCTAAATATGCAAACCTGAAATAATTGTTAAAAAATATAAATCAATGTATCCATGTTGAGCTCATTCATATCCCTTGATGTAAAGTGTTAAAGATTTTAAACTTTTATTTAGCAAGTTTTCTGAAAATATGAATTAAAAAAAAATTAACTTTAGAAGAAATGCTCAAAAGAAATAAAACAGCTTGTAATATAGACAGTTATAATTTTAGGATTAAAAAATATCTAACATTTTATGATGAGAATCTTAAAAATAGATACAAGTAAATTAGACATTATGCAAATTATACAAAAAAGAATACAAATCAAATTGACTTCATATTGAGCTTCCATTTCAATTTAAAATATAGGGCATATCTAAACAATAGATATACACTATGGAATAACATAGGTTTCTTTCCATATAATGTGCTTTCGGAGTAATTCATTGTGAAAAGGCCGGAGTTTGCAATACTAGGAAGTACTTATAAACCACTTCATATGTTAGAAATAAAGAGTATTTCAGCATTATTATTAAAAAAATATATAGGTTGGTTTTTTTTAATAAGAAAAATACATATCTTTAAAAGCCAAAATGACCACTGGAATTGGGTTGTACATCACTTTCCTGTAAAAAGGAAAAACAGCCTGGACAGGTGTAATTTATCATTTTTCTGATTTAATATCAAAGAAATATATTAAAATAATAAAAAGAATCCTGAAATCCTCAAAATTTGTAGTGATAAATAGCCCTCCCTGTCTTTATTGCATTATACCTACTAACAGAAATATTGCATGGTGGATTTTGCCAGACAAGGACGATTATTTTCCAATAAAAAGTTGCATATTAAATTCCAGCACAAAAGTGGGTGTCTAATACTTTGGAAATCTTTTATGGTTTGCCAAGGAACACAATTTAAACTTAACTAATACAAACATATTCCTGGAGTGAATCTATATTAAAGGTTTCCATCCAACTCCACCCATTTTCAGAATGTTGTTCTTACCTTAAAATATCAGCTAATCTTGATGGTTAACTAAACCAACACTTATTTTTCACAGCTCCTCTATACATGATAGTTGACATATAAAAGACAACTAACTACATGCTACTCTCTTACTGCCCAAAACACAATAATGTCAGTTTCACTCTGAGACAGATGATTTTTGGTTAAAAAAATCTGTTGGAGAGAACAATCTAAGCATTTAATTATAATGGAAAATCTTACTATAGAATAAAAAAGATGTTAATTTGGGAGGGCTAAGCATCACAGAAGTGGTCATAAAACTTACAATTTTCTTCCTACTAATCCTTTGTGCCTCTTAACTAATGAAAATAATGTCTTTTTCAACAGAAGAATATTGAAAATGTATTTACTCTGAGGATTCAATCTTCATAAGGTGGCATTTTTAGATGATGTTGACCTTAAAATTAGATAACACATTTTGCTTGAGAACAAGACCTTCCTAATAGTTATGAAAAATAATGAACTATAACCACATTTGATTACATTTTTCTTATTTAATAAGTGATTAACCTGGGTGGGTAGAATATAACTTTCTCTGGTTAGGGATCTATACATCCATATAAATTCAATTGTGACTCTGAATAAGTGCTTCCTTGCATGCGGCCAATATAAATAAACCATTCAAGAGAACACACTTAAAGAGAGGGGTAAATGAAGGCATTGTATATAAAAATCAACCAACCCATCAACCCACCCACCCCCAAACCTGCAAAAATGATAAACAAGGAATATACTGGCCAACAGAAAGCACACTTGGGGTTGACGACATATAACATCAAACATATAGCGAAAAGGATATCCAACAGAAAGGTCACTCAGGAACTGAAGAGTCCTTGAAATTACAGGCTCACATCTTCCCCAGTATTTAAGGTTTGTAACACTAAAACATAAACAACAAACACAGGTTTTGACTATAAGCAAGACAATTGCTTGTGTAGGGAGAACCATGGAAATGATACGTAATTTAGTATATATAAAAAAGACTGCTATGAACTTGTATGTACACTCTTGTACATTAGATGATCAAAGTCACAAACATCTCTTAAAGAGGAAAGCAGTTTCAAAGACCAATAGAATGTGCTTTTTCCCTAGCACATTCAAATTATACACAATCAATCTACAATGAACACTATTCTCCAAATAGCATTGTGTGAAAGAAGGAGTTAAAGAGGGAGTCAAACAGAAGTTCATTTGTTGTTAAGAAATCAACCACCAAACTGTTAGGCTCACTTATTGTTGAAGTGGCTCTGAGCCATACTTCTACCTCTGTTCTCTGTATCTTCTGTTCTCTGTACCTATCTCTTTTCTCATTAGCAAGACAGGGTGCTCTGTCCACACACAGTGCCACGGAGGAGGCATGTACGTATAGAAATGTCAGAGTATAAACTAGGTAATTCTGAAAGTATTATAAAACTAGTTGAAGGATAGTCTTCCATGAATAGCCATAGGTTTCTGCTGAAACCACTAAATGGCCTGATTTAAGGTAATTCGATCTTTCTTAATTATTCAAATCACAAATACTGCTTAGTTGGTTTTAAAATAACAGAGAGAGGGAGAAGAGAGGAGAGGAGAAAACCACAAAACTTTCTAAGCGGCTTGCAGAGTTCGGTGTAGTAAACTTTTAAAAACCACCTTTTGATGTTGTTTGAGTATCCTCACACACTACAATGTTGTTTAGATGGTATTTTAGTTTTAAATATATGAATTAACTTTCAGTTAAGTACAGTGTAATATCCCAAGAATTAGAGGATGATTTAAAAACAAACTTATTTTAAAACAATTTGGTATCTGTGAAGAGATTTAGACACAGTAAAGAGAATTAGAATCAACTTGACGGCAACCACCAGCAGCACAACATATTAGATTTCAAACAATAAAAGAAAAACCAAAGAGCCAAAGGAAGAACTTACATTTTCGTCATGAATGTTTCTAGAACATGGTTGTCATCTGTTATTCCTAAAACTTCTGACATACGGGCATATACCTGCATGAAAAAAACTGCATTGTTAAAAGCCTAATATTAACATGTTTTCAAAAGTCTATTCAAACTGGACAAGTGGAATAGAAGATGTAAGGCTTTGTTGTACCCATGCTGTAATAGGGAGGAGGGGAGAGTAACAATCAAAACGGCTTAATTTAACTTTGCTTCTTTTAAAAAAGTACTTGGTTTGAACCTCCCCCCCCCCCCCCACCAGATAATACTTTCTTTTCTTTCAAAATGGTACATCATCCCTTTCTCAAAGATGGGGACAAGCCTGCAAAGGACGAGAAAGTACAGTGCCTGGAAATATGGCTCTAACACAACAGAAGCTCCATTTGGTCTGGATTGCAGCAAACATCAAGTAACACAGGGTCATGTAAGGCAGGCATAAAACCTGTTTCAAACATTAATGGAAGGCAAACAATTTAGAGAGATTTTTTTAAGTGTTCCTCAATCTCCCAATCCAGAAGCAGGTCTTACTTTCCATGCTGAAATGGAAGGCCCATGCTGAAGGATTCTAGGCTGGGAATCCACTGAGTTTTCAGTAGGGAGTACTGATTGCTGAGATTGGGGTACAAGATTTCAGTGCCAATCCCAGCCACAGTATGCTTGCAAACATTTCACTCCAATGGAATGTGCCCTCGGAGTCTGGCAAAGCTGAGCGCTGGGTTGACCTCTTTACTCTCTGGTGCGCTGCGTGATTTTTCTTCTGTAATTTGATCCCCAGTCATTGTATTTTACCTTTTCTATGGGATAGCAGTTTGGCTGCCACTTCCTTTACCTTCTGTTTTGTGTGTGTGTGTGTGTGTGTGTGTGTGTGTAAGCAGCAGTCTGACATGATAGGTCATGAAGGCAAAAGAAAAGTTAAAGGGCCCCAAATCATCCAGAGTTACAGGCTTATACAGGGGAGAAACACCGTTCCTTGTAGAAATCTCAAGTTCGGACTTCATCACTATTCAAAGCAGAAGCTTGTGTTCAAGTTTCCACCTTGGTTCCACGTGCAGAAGGTCCCTCAGGCTGTCAGAGTGAATTTCAGGGAAAGGTGAGGGTATAGAGGCAATTGAGGGAAGTGGCAGGCATGTGGAGAGAGACGGAAGATGGGGGTTCAAATTCCTGACGTCTCTTCTGCTGACTGACTTCTGGGGCCTACTCCACCTTGACTGTCTAGTAGGGTGGGCATTGTCTTTTATAGGCTGATGCTGTCACTGTAGTTTGTCAGATGCTTGGGGGAGAGGGAAAAGGGCAGAAGGAACCTAGGGAATGGTATGTCGAAAAGGAAGATTCCCAATCTCAGTGATCTAAAACCTTTCTCATGAATGAGAACTCATGGGGCCCCAGGAAAAGCGGATCCTGGCAGGGTTAATGGTAACTGCAGGCCCTTCACAAGAGGCCGACATACCGGTCCTCACCATTTCCCTCGGCTTCAGTCGGCCTGAAGGGCTAGTGTGTCACTGCAGCTTCTCAGACCTCTACCTGCTCACGTGGAGCTTGTTTTGCCTGACTCAGCTTCCCCCTCTCTTCCGTATCACTATTCAAACGCCACTTCTGAGGAGGCTTCTTCTGGCTTCGTGCTCCCACAGTGTGCGGTCCATTCCTCCGTCACCGTGCTGCGCACACCAGGATTGTTTGGTTGTCGTCTCCCTGACTGCCTCGGCACTCCGGGAGGACGGGTCCTGTGCCTTAGTCCTAGTGCCCCAGCACCTACTCAGTGTTTGTCAGGTAAATAACGCATGTGTGCTCAATGTGTAACGGCAAGGGTCATGAGCTGGATCCACTGGGACGACATTATAATGTGACTGTTACACAGACAATGAGAAACGAAGGAAGGTCTCCTTAGGAAGCATGTGTTGAATTCCAGGGACAAAAGACACCTGATCATAAATTAAACAGAGAAGACAGAGAGACAGAGAGACAGACAGACAGACA